GTTACTCATTAACTCCTTCACACAATCCACAGGATTTCGCCTTGAGTTTCTCTGGTGGCATTGGCTTTCCTTCTTCATCAGTTCAATCCCCCAGTGCCGTTACAATATCTAGTGTTTAAAGGTTCAGTCCATAGGACCGCAAAAAGCCGGTGGACCGAACTGAACCGGACCATGGTCCGGTCTTTTTTTCGGTTGCAGTTGCCCCAATTCGGGGTTGGTCCGGTTGCCGGTTGCCTCATTTCGAAAATCTTTTAAAACCGTTCAAAGACTGGTTTTAATCGGTTGCAACCGGTTAAACGGTCACATGTGTTACATAGCCTTGTAACCACGTTTATTGCCTTTTATTGGGTTTTTGTTTCATCAAAAACGGTTAAGAATTGAGAAAGATATAACCAAATCCATATTTCACCCGAGTCTCTAGGAGATGTAATTCGGTTTCAGTCATAGCTATGTCAAATGTTCATTAAATCTCTTGAAAATTGGTAGAATGACGGGTTTCTATATGCTTTACTATTTTATATAACCCGTTTATTTTTCAGAGTAATAATGGTTGAGATACAAATGGTTTATATTGGTATAATAAATTATACGCAAAAAACCGGTCTGGATCGGTCTGAACCGGTATCATGGACCGCAAAAGACCGGTCCTAGGTGGTTCGATTCGGTTCCCTCAATATCTGGGTCGGTCCTGGACCGGTTGCGGTCCACGGTTGCGTGTTTTCAGGGCAAAAAACCGGACTGAACTGAACCTTTAAACACTAACAATATCGCATGTCCATGGTGCTCCTTGTGTCGGCAGGGCATCAACTTTCTTGAGAAAACTATGGTTGTTATGGTAAGAGGGCTTCGTTCTATTGGCTGTCTATTTTTGATGCTCCATCAGTAAACACGGGGACAGCTGTCAGTGAAACAATCACGTACTATAGGAAGCCTCAAAAGGGCATCAGTTTGTTTCTGGCCGACATTTTGAATCAGCCACTCTGCCAGCTCCCATTCTTCCTCACTATCGAAGGGTCCCCACCATGACGCACTGCTCTCCTCCTGCTCATGCCGAATGCGCTCAAAAAGTGGGACACCGTAACCCCAGCCAGCCCTGGCTTTTCTATCTTTGGGAAAATACTCAATGTGGGACTTGGGATAGGTATCCTGATCTGGAATCTCTTCATTGGTTGTACAGCTTGTGGAGTTTGTGGTGGAGGAGAATCTGCTGGAGGTTCAGGTATGTTGAGACTGGCCTCAAGATCTTGATCAAACTGATCATCAGGTTCAGATGTTTTGGATTTGCCTTCAATCGGCATAGGTGGTCCAACCATTTCAGGGGCAGGCTCCAAAGAAAATCCAGATGGGCCTGTGGCAGGCGCTTGAGGTGCATTCCAGATATTGGCAATATAGGTTCCAAACTCCTGATGTGATGCTTTGTTGCAGGTAATAGTTCGTTTAATATGCTTGTTCAGTGCTGAAGCATTTGGCAAGGTCTTTCCACAGAAGCCACACCGAGAAGTCCCTTCAGTGTTGGATGCCATGGCTGAGTTTGTCAGATGAGAGGTAATGTCGTAAAAATTTCAACAAAAATTCAATAATGAAATTTATCACCAGCCGTTTCAACCTGATCAACATCATGTCTCATATGACCATTTGCACTCCTCATTTGTCATTTTACTGATGTGTCTGCCCCTAAGCTTTTGTTAATCCATGAAAAAGAGACACTGCCACATTGGCTGGCTATTTAACCACACTGCGGGCCCTGGCTTATACATCCACTGGAATTATCGTGAAAAAATGGGGTAGATATTAATAATAATGCTACCTTTTAACTGCCGAAATTACTTGAAAGATATTTAAAATCTTTTATTTCATTTTATAACTTTTTTTCCATCGGAATTATTAAGAATTTTGGGGGTGGACAAACGTCGAAGATATTCAGAGAAGATATTTCTACAAAAGGCAACCATATATGTGCAGCAAATATGTAGAAGATATGTTGATGCCACGAGGTGAAGAAACTTCTTAATATAGCAGCCTTTTCGGATCTAAGTAATACTTGCTTGATAAGGCTATTTGCTGTTTACCTCGACACCTTCCATCCACGACGTCGTCAAAGCGTACAACGACGAACTCGAACTCTATTCCTCAATGTTACGACGACTACCTGATGGCAACCAAAGCTCAACATTCAACAGGGAGATGGGAATGTGCCCAGCAACAACAAAGTGTCTGCTATCAAGCTCAAGCAAGCATGACCCTTGAGTTGCCATTAGCTCATGACAAAGGCAAGTCGTGCTCACTTGACATCAAACCACCACCAGCCACTCATGGCTGGCACCAACCCCAAAGATAACCCGTATCTTGCGCATCATTATAATGGGAGAAAGGGGGCAGGACCCGAGCCTGCACCAAGTAGCTACACTCACGCAA